AGAACTGAAGCACAAAGTAGTGCACAGCCACTTTCCTTCTGACTGGGAAAAGATTTGATCTTATTTGGACCAGAGTTTAGCTGCACTAAGTGCTTGTGCACTGTGCATTGTATGCATGTCCTTTCAGCTCCTTCAGGGTACAGGTGAAGGGTCTAACAGCACGAAAAACTGGACCTGGATCAGAGTAGGTCTTCTTCACCCCTCCAGTGCAGTGACAGAATGGAAAAATGGGCACATAACGGAAAACTCAGGTTAAAAGGTGGGATAATCTTGCCTTTTGTTGTGCCCTGGTTTTCTTACAAAAAGTATTTCTAATGGCATTAATCCACACAAATCCTTCCTGCCTTTAGCGTGCTTGTACAGGCACAGTCATGGCAAGAAAGGCAGCTCCAATAAAGGATTTTGGTTAGTGCATGTGTAGGGTTTACCTGGTTACGGTTCCACTGGGGAAAGAAATCCCCTCAAATGTTCAGAAGCTTTTATAAAGGCAACTTCATCCCCAGTGTGCAGGGTGGCCCTAAACGTGCTTTGTGAAGGTCAGGTCTGTACTTTAGTGTGGCAGTGCACTCAGCAACGTGCAGAGGGTGCTCCCCTGCTTTGTCAGAGCACAGAATCCAGCTGTTGGAGAAGGATGGGCTGTGGCACAGGCATTGCAAACCACTCTGCTGGATCACGAACTCATTTGGAGAGGAAGGCATGGAGAGGGTTAGATCATAGATATTTTCCACAGTAAATTAGTTAATATTAACTGGAGGAAAAAATTATCTGTGAGGAGAACAGTCCAGGAAACCAATTAAAAAAAAAAAAGGACTCTAGGGGGTATTCAGAGAATTGTGGGGGAAGCTGTGTGCAGAACTTCCACCTAAGTCAATGTTTAGAGGGGCATGGTGGTGGATGGGCAATGAGAAACTGTCTTTAAAATTACCACCCTTAGCTGGGTAAATAATGAAACCTATGACTTACTAGGTAATGCCTGTGTTCATAGCCTGATTTAAAAACTGGGATAACCAACGATGGAAAAACAAAACAAAACCCGACCCAAACCAAACAAAACCAATGACAACAAACCCACAAACAAACAAAACCCCAAACAATCCAGTGAGGGGGAGGAGGGCAGGCTACATGTCAGTGCTTTGCCTTTCTGCACCAAGCTTTCTACACTGCTCAGAACGCTTCAGAAAAGTGGGCAAATCTGTCCCCAGTTTGGACAATAACTGGAATAAAGAAGTAAAATGACTTTGCAAAGGAGTCCCAGTGCTCCCCCCATGAAAATCAAGAGTGAATGCACGTGTCTGTTTTGTTTTAGAAGCCCTTAGCAGAAACTGGTGGTGGTCTCAGCAGAGCACAAAATGTGCTTTTTAATGAGTTTGTTGCTCACATGACCTGACTCCTCACTCTGATGCTTTCCACTTTATCATGGGAGGTGTTGTGGTGCGGTGCTTGAAAGGTAGCTTGTGCTTCCTCTGCCAGTATCTATTGTGTAAATAACAAAATACCCCTTCAGACTCCACAGAAACTATTATAGCACCTTTTCCCTGCCCTAAATTATGACCAAATAACAAAAAAGTTTTAAACTCTCAAAGGCTGTAACTAAATACAGCCAGCATTCCCCTGCTTTCTGAATTACTGCAAGGGAGCCAAGCTCTCTGTGGTGGCTCAGCAGATCAAGGGCACTTACTCATAAGTGAACACTCATGCTTACAGCACTGTAGGTGCATTGTATTGGGAATAGTGCTGTCCACATTTTGGGATGGTGAATGCTTCAAGCTAAGCCAAACAGCTCCTGTGCCTGCAATCCCTTCCTGGAGAGCGCAGAGCCATTCCAGAAGACAGGCACAGACTGCATGGGTGGTTTTTTTTTTTTTTCGTGTGTCTTGAATGCCGAATGAACGTCTGTGTTTACAAAGGGCCACGAAACCCTGCGAGTGGAACTGCACTGCTGGTGAGCTCCCACTGCCAAGTGCACGGAGCCTGAAAAGATCTGTGATTAAGGTCCAGCACAGGGGAGCTGCTGTGAGGAGCTGTCATCATTTGATGCCTCCTAGGCACTTTCAAGTTTCTGTAGTAAACATGGTGGCTGCTTTAAAGCCAGAGCAGCAGTGGGGGTGCCAAAGGTACATTCCCCTTGGAGGTCTTGGGCAGCAGCAACGTTTCTGTGTGGGTTGGATCTGCTGTTCAGTGCCCTTGGGAGGCGGTTCACCACCTCCTAGCACGACACCCTGGCTTCTTTTCTTTGCAACTCTGACGTGTATTTGGCCTCTCAAGCTGAGAGCTCGTGAACTGTTTGGTTTTTTTTTTTTTTTTAGAAAGTTTGAGCCAAAATAGTCATATCGTTTCTAAACATGAAACGAGGAAAGTCAGCTGTATTATCCATGTTAAAAATCTGGAATTTCTTCTAGGAAGATCTAGCACCTCTGTGGCTCGCAGAGGGGAAAAATGGAAATTTGGAAGTGCATCCTCTGTGTTGGTAATGCTCTTTTATCGCCTTGAGGAACCCCTGGCCATGCTGTAATCCCCTGAATAATCACACTAATTTAGCGACATCTCCTTTATCAACAAAAGCCTCCATCGTGGTTCAAGTCCTGTGCCTGACTGGACTTCCAGTGCACATCCCCTGCCAAACAGCCAAAGGTACCCCACCACCCTTCCCAAAGAGGAGGGAAGATGAAGAGTTCCTAGGGATGGGGGAAACAGGGCTGAAAGGACACGAATGTGAAAGTGCAGTCTTTCAAAGAGGTCATGCAATGAATCATTAAATACTGAAATATTTTTTTCCATCATCACATTCATCAGAAAATACTGGAATGGATCCTGATTCCTGCAGAGTAATTTGAGAGCAGTTGAACCATTTGGGTTGAACTGTCTGAGGAGCTGTGAGCTCTGGAAGATTTCAGTCCTCCACAGTCAGGGAGGCAAAGCTGCTCTAGCTTGCCTCAGAAACAGGGATCTTCAGGGTTTGTTTTCCTGCAAAGCTGAGAGCTCAGGAAAACTTGCGTTCAACTTTGTGGAGTCTGCAGTGGCGACTTTCAAACCAGAGTCTGGGAACCACAGGATCCATAGAAAGCTTTTATAAGGCCTGTGTAAAGATCTTTAAGAAAAACAGGACTTTTGCCTAAATTGCCTACAATTGCAAATTGGAAACTAGGAAAACAATTAAAAGTACTTAAATGGAACAGTGTAAAGATAGAGGGGGACCAGAGGCACTTGAAAATCCGTTTTGCTCTTACAAGGGGGCCAGCTTTGTGGAGTCAAGGTTGAGCATTTGGGTGTATGGTTTTGTTTTATGCTCCTTGGGCCCCCTGTCTGCCAAGGATCATCTTTTCTGACGAAGATAAATTACCTCTGCCCACCACAGCTTTCAGTTTTAGTTCCAGCTGGGGTATGCTGGTAATCCTGAGATAAAAAATAGTCTTCTGAATATATTGCAGTTAACTTCAGTTGTATAAATCCAAGCATTAGCTGGATACTATAAATAGGCAGGATGTGCAAGGAGGCCAAGTTGAAAATGTGCAGAAACCGTGCCTTTTTTCTGTAGTGCTATGCTTCATCATGTATAATATTTTTCATCTGAAAAGGAAACAGTGTGCATGTGCTTTGTTGGCTGCAGTAATTAACTGGACATAATGAAGCGCTGAATTTCACACTTTAGAGAAGCAGATTGGGAAGGATGGGTAATTTTCATTAAGTTTTCGTGCTTTCAGTATTTTCTCAGAGGTATTTTTGGGCAAGATTGGGCAGAGAGCAGAAATACATCTGGTTTATATTACGTGATGGCTGTACTTTGGCAACGGGAAAAGATGGCACTTAAAAAAAAAAAAAAAAGGAAAGAAGAATAAAAAACAAAAGTTTGGCAACTACAGAACAGAGCAAGAAAAATCACAAGAACTATCTTGAAATTCCCAGGATTTGTAATTTGTTTTTCCATGCTTGCATTCTTCTGATGTTGCTGGTATTAAAGGGGTGAGACAGAGGAAATTCAGCAGGATTTTGCAAAGCGCAGATATCCCCGTGGAACAATCTCCTTTATTCAGGTTGCCCCCACAGAGCAGCTGCTCTGATTAACACGTGGGTGGCGGTGGAAGGGGTAGGAAACAGGGCTCGTATGTTCACTTTTAGAAAAAGTGATAGATGGTTATTTTTTTTTCTTTTTTTCTCGCGTTTTCTTCAACAAGTGGCCCTGAAATACTGAAGGTGGTCTCTCCCCGAACTGCTGTTATCTATGGGTGTAGGGCAGAGGTAAAATTAATGAAGTTGTTTTTTGAAGCTTTGTGATGGGAGAGGGGAAAAGATGTTCAGGCAAGGCAACGGCACCTTGGGATGTGTCACCTCCTGCAGTCCCATTATTTCTTTTCTTTATATATTTACCCAGGAAATAGGTTTTTTTTCCCCCTCACATTAACATAAGGTGGTAGCAAAGCACGAAGAGCTGAGGCTCTGCTCGTGGGGCAGATATTTTGCAGCTCTGAGAAGAGTCTGTTCAGCTGACTTGAAACAGAGTACTCTGGAACAAAGTTATGTTCTGAGTGATTTTTAAGTAAAGGCTAATGTGAAAATGTGGGCGTTTAAACCAACGTAAACACATTAAATTTAAAGCCATTTTCAAAAGTAGTAAATAAAAAAATAAGCGTTCCTGCTCTCGAAATTCCTAAAGGACACATTTTTCCTCCCGAGCCGCGGTTTAATTAGATTATATTTTATTAGACATTCTTTACAAATTTTAAAATACTGCTATTATACATGCACAAAGGAAAATCAGTTTGAACAACTGGATGTAGGCATTCATCGAAATCAACCACAAAAAAGGAACATTTTATGTCAGTTATCAATGTACTCAATATGTATATCTAAAGTGCATTATGTTACAAAAAATATAGAAAGTCAGCAGCACCAAGATATGTTCACAAAATAAATACACCAGTCAACAAAATAAATTATGGTAGATGTGACAATAATAATTGTCTTAGCCTTAGCCAAAAAAAAAAAAAAAAAAAAAAAAGGAAAATTCACAATAACCAAATGTGCAGTTTCAGAGAGCAATGGGGGAAAAGGTTTTATTCTGAGCATTTACAATATTTACAGGTAATAAATATTTTAATACTTCCCATATGTTCACTATTACAGAATACTGCAATATGTCTTCCAAAAATATCTTGCTGAAAATGTCAGCGCCTCCTGCAAAGAAAAAAAAAAAAGGACAGAAAAAAAAAAAAAGGAAAATTAATTTTTACTTCAAAGACATGTACATAAAATTAATAGCAAAAGTACCACACACTATGACAGGCGTGCCTTGCTAATAAACATTTGCAATAATAGGGCCTGATTAACAATGTTACAGCTGTAGATACCTTTCCAAGACCTCCACTATATTTTCTTCAATGCAACTCATCCACCAGGATGATGACCTACAGGTTGTCACAACACTGAGGCCATCTACTGCACTGTTCTGTACACTCAGAGTCACAGAAAGGGGCTTTAGTTTTCTTTAGAGACTTATGCCAGAAGGTTCCTGAGCGCTCCAGGTAGAAGAATTGTATCACCCTGTCATAAATATGCCAAGAGGTATAAAGAAAAAAAAATACAGTTGGAGAAATGAGAATTCAATTTTAAATATATGTTTTTTAAAAAAATCCTTATTAACCATGTGGCAGTCCTGCCCCTGCTGTGCCAAATGGCTGGGTGTGATGCCAGGCTTGGGTGTGATTAAAACAGTGCCACTGAGCTTTATTTAGTCTCTTTTTCTCACTGAGAGACCAGCTCTTAGGCAAGGGTCTGTATATTTCTGTGGTGTCACATACATGAGGATATGCAGGAAAGGATGCTCAGGTCTTGGAGTGAGCAGGCAGACCCTTGGACAGAGTGTCTCTCTGAGTGCTTGGATGAGTGAAAAGGTTATAAGCCTGCAACTTCCCCTCTGTGAGCAAAAAAACTTGGTCCTGAAAGAAAATAAGCGCTTTCCTGTTGCGTTCAGTCCAAGCTGACACAACCAGCCCTGAGATCTGGGAGTTTTCTAAGGGATGTTGGCATTCTGTGCTGAGTTCTCTACTCCTGCCTTCCTTATGAAAGCTTGAGAACAAAAGCAGAGCCTTCTCCTAACCACTCCCATCCTGCCAGTCTGTTACTTACACTGTAATATTATTTTAAGTTGCTTAGTGGTGCTGCTGGAAATGCTCAAAGGTGAGGTGTTTTTCCCTTCTGTCCCTGTGAACAGCACTTTTTTTTTTAATGTTTCCCTGGGAAACAGCTGTGGGGTGGAACATGAAGCTGTGGGATGGAGTGGGATTTGCTCTGCTGCTTTACTGATCACCAAGGGCTGTGGGTGGCATTCCACATGGCAGAAGTGTTAAATGGTTGGGTGTGATGCCATGATGAAATGGGAGTATAGATGAAATGTCCATGAAAAATAATTCTGAAGAGCCTGGAGTGGAGAGGCCATCGTGAAGGTCTTTAATAATTAACTATTAATATTAGGATGCATCCAGGATATATTACAGCAAGTATGACAATGGCATATCTTTCCTGGAGCATGACTGTGTGTGTCTGCACCACTCAGGCCTATTTCTAAGAGGGTGACGTTTTTCATTTGGCCTGGATTTTAGCTTTTGTTTTAGAATTTAGGCTAAGCCACGTCTTGACAATGGGCTTTGCACTAATGATAACTTGCGAGCTGCCTCCTGTGATTTGGTCCCAGATTTTGCAAGACTGGCTTCTTTCATGAGGTCCTTATTGTGGTAAGTCAAAAGATCTAGAGATGACATTATTGTTGTCCTTTTATTCTGACCTAAACCCATAATTTTGTTATCAAGACTGAGCTGAGAGAATTGGCTCGAAGATTTTAATTTGGGGTGTTGAGCAGAACAGAAGCCCAGAGGTACAGTGAAAAGCGTGCCTAAAGTTTATCTTTGCACTTCCTTGACATTTACCCTGCTGCATTGTGCACTTCCTCTCTGTGAAGTGATGCTGCTGCTCCTAAGCTGCAGTTGGCCTTAGGGGTGCAACAAAAGCAGCTTCTACTGGTGGAGCATATGGAAATCTTGGCTGCACACACCATCCCTCACCCCCAACCAGCAGTAGGGTAGAAGTTCCTGATTCAGCTGAGGAATCAACCTCCCTCAGATGTGCCCATCCCTCTGTCTAAACTGTATTTGCCCACCTCGTGCCAACAACTGCTTAGACAACTGCATTGGGCCTGACTCCCCCATCTAAAGGGGGAGTAACTTTCCTTTAATGTATAGAAATTATATCTTTTGGATATATATCCCGTATCTGGGATAACTAAAAGCTTGTGTACCAGCAGTTTCTTACAGGCTAAACCAAAATATTGTGCTCTGTACTTGTGAAGGAGAAATTCTGTTTTCCTTGTTTAATGTATTCTCTTCATTTAACCCTCTTCAGTTAAGTATCTAAACTATAGGTTCTCCACAGGGTTCTGCTTCTTGCCCTGAAGAAATACCTGCATCTTAGAGGGTAATATCAGTAAGGTAAAGGTAAAGGTAAAGGTAAAGCCTTCATCCATCCAACCATACTTCAAACAGAAAGGCTGAACTAGGAAAATCAACAGGGTTGTACCTGTAGCTCTTTTATATATTCCATTGGATGTACAACCAAAGACAGCGTAGTAAGAAGAAGAAGGAGAAACAGTTGAAACTCCCTGGGATATTTTTTCCCCCTATATTTAAGATTTCTGTGTGCTGAAGATGTGTTATGTACTGGCCAACACAGTTCCACAACATCTGCTGAAACATCAGGCATCTCCTGAAGGGTGCCTTTCCTCAGGTGCTGAGACAAACCAGCCTCTCTTACTTCACTCCTACCTGCTCCAGCCCTGCCACCTGGTTTCTGGTCTGGGACACTGAGTGCCCAGCCCCAAATTCCAGTAACTCCTGCAGAGGCCAGCAGGAGCTGAGACGATGGAGCACATTGCAAACTGTGGCCCGTAAAGCTTAATCCAAAACTGGATCTTAGTAAATCCTGCAGCTGGCATGTCTTCCTAAGGGATTTGCTGTGAGCAAGTGGCACTTCTCTTATGTCTCTATTCTGCCAAAGTGAAGGGGAGGAGGAGGAGGGAAAAGGGTGGGAGTTTTGCTGTTGAAAATGCAAACATCTGAGGAGAGCTGAGGGGTGGACTCCTTGGCTTTGTCTGCAGAGTGCGTAGACTTCCACTCTGAGATGACTGTGAGTGGGTGAGTCATTTGAGACACCTGGGTTGATGTCTCCAGCTCACCACTACCCTGAAAAGCCTGCGCTGTCATACGTGAGGGAAGCACTTCTCTCTCCAAGAGCAATGCTAAACATTTGTCAGCAGCAACGTAATTGCTTCATGAGCTGGCAAAAAGATGGAGCTGAATTAAAAAGTCCTAATGGCATGGAAAAGCTGATGGTGAAAGGCTGGTCTGCGTGGTTTGCAGATATTGCTAAGAGAGAATTTTTCCGTGTTCTCCCCTAAGGTTAAACAGTAAAATGAAAAGCTGTAAAGTAAGGGTAGGAAAGTTGCCAAAAAGGGGAGGTATCAAGAGGGAAGAGAGAAAACTTCAGCATTTTATAGATCCAAAGCCTTAAATAAAAGTCAAAGCTTTCAGTCCGCTCAGGCCCAAGTGTGGGACCAAGATATGATGTGAGAGGAACTATGGTTAAAGCAAAAAAGGAAATTTCAATGGCTGTGCGTGATGTGCTTTCTTCTTGCAGAAATCACTTACTGCTCAGCTTCAGGAAGCACATTTTGGCATAAAGTGGTTTACTTGAATTGTGTGTCATAGGAAAGAAAGACTTTGTCACCCTGCAACGTGGAAAGGGCAGTTACCTTCAGAAAGCCCCTTGAGACCGTGCAGTGCTTGAAAAGCTCCCCCCCAGTTATGAGTAGAAAGATCTGCTGTTACTCCAGGTTTGAGCAAGGCCTTGGCCTCTCTCACCAAAGGATTACAGTTTCAGTAAATACATGGTATGGTCCCCAGAAGGATCTAGCAGAATTACCTTAAAGTGTGATTATGTGTGGTGACAGAGCTGTCCAAGAGTGGGCTCTCAGTCACGACGTCCCCATAGGTGCCAGGATTTAGCCAAGCTGAGCGGGTTCGCCTCTTTTTCTTCTCTTGTTCCTTACGTTTCCCAGGCTTTGCTTTCTTTTTCTTCCCTGACGCCTTCAGGGGCTGCTCCTTGTAGGTCTGTGATTTGTTTGTCTCCTGAGTTAGGTACCTGCCCTCGTCTTCACTGCCGAATCGGACAGGGTAGTTCTTCGTGTTGGTGGCGGGCTTAGGGTTGGGGGACACCTCGGACGTGGCGCGGATTTCTGCAGTGTTGACACCTTCGATCAAATTTTGAAGGAATATTCTTCTTCGTAAATCTTGGATTGACTTGCCCTTGTCGTGCAACAGCTGGTGCTCTGATACAGCCCGTTTGCTAAAGGAAGAGAAAGGAGAAGGGGAAAAAAACGTTCAGGATTTGGTTATTGCCCAGTACTTGGCAGAGCTCCCCTCGCCTCTGGCCGTGGTGACCACAGTGGCTGTGTACCAGCTCTCAGGCTTGGAGACATCCAGTTAAGTCAGACTGCTGGAGTAAGTCCTGCTTCTCAGAGTAGCTGCTCCCTACAGAGAAGGGAAAGACCTAAGAGGGTAATAATTCTCAGCTGACCGATCACACACCACTGGACCTGGAGCTGGATTAGTCACTGCTCTGTTCTAGGAAAGCATTATGACTCTTAATATATCACACTTCAGGCAGTAAAAGCAGGAAGGCGGTTGTCAGAGATAGAAAAACTAAAGGGTTGGATAACGGAGCACTGCAGTGAAGCAAGAGGGGGAATAACAAGTACTTGTGCTGGAGCCGGAAGCAGTGTTTATACAGCATCATTCTAATAATTTTCTTCTGCTCAGTCACACACTTCAGAAACGTAAATAAATACACAAAAGTGCGTTTCATTTCTAAATTTAAGTAAGTGCAATTGCAGGCGTGTCATGGAAAAAATATTGGAATTGGGATGCCTAAAGCGTGGGCGCTTCAGTCCATAGTGAGCTACCCGGGCAGGCAGAGGAGCATGGGCAGAGATAAACCTCAGCCAGTGCCTCTTGATTTACTGTTTGGCCACTTGTGTCTAATTCTGGGTTTAGGTGCCTTCCTGCTATTGCTTCCAGCCTCAACTTTCGGGGCCAGATTTCTTGTCTGCTGTGCAGTTGGAGTTTTATGCTGGCCCTCTTCAGGAGCTCTTCAAGAGCATCCTGGTTTTGTTGGAGTGTTGGTTTTTTTTTTTCCAGAGTTCATCATGACCTTTTAGTACACTGAGCTCCGTCTTGTTTTCGAGGAACTGCGAGATGACTAGCTATTTTTCTTTTAGAGATGTTGTGCTGGCAAAGAGCATATTAAACATCTGAGGAAAATACAAGTGGCACCTGGATAATAAATGACTGTAAGAAAATACATGCTCATTCCTTCATGTGGAATAGACACACAGCTGCACTGTGAACCGCAGAAAGAGCATAAGCTGGGATTTTAGCTGTGCTCCCATGAATGCTATGATACACTTTATCCTTCCAATTGCCCTGCTTCAGTGTGCAGAGATTGGCTATGTGCTCTCTCCTCTTGCATCAGGGTACTGCATGTGACTGGATTCTTACTGGCCAAAGAAAATCCATTCACTGCCTTGCCTATCCTATAATCATTTGGTCAGTTAGCTGGATAAGAAGCTGTTTCTGCATGTGGGTGAACTGGAAGAAGACACATAATCATGAGTGAATATTCCTTCCTTCCATCCCACCCCTCATTTTCCTGCTGTGTTACCAGGTTTCAAAATGCTAAATGTGTGGGGGTGTTCTGCACTTTCTCAGTCCCTTTAGCCAAACTCTTTAGATTTGTGACTTAATCCACAGTGGAGCTATTTGAAATTGGCAACTTCAAGTAGCATTGGTTTAAGAGCATCCCCTTCACTTTTTGTCTCTGTAGGACTGTACTGTTTGAGTATTGGGTTCAGGTGATGGGCTCAGGTGATGCTACATCTGTTACTCAGTGAAAAATTCAAACAGCAGCTTTCCTCTGTCTCACAATGAGAATGGAAGATGACTGCCAACATCTTGCTCAAAATCAGGTCTAGATATACTGAGGTTTGAGAGCACATATGTAATCATTGTCTGTGTTTTAAATGTCCCCAAATCAGTTTTGAATTACTTCAGTCTTTAGGGCAGGTATTTTATGCCCCTCAACTCAATGTCCCCAAGCAAAAAATGCAATGTGATAATAGTAAGCTGAACCCATATTGTGTCTTTCTCTTCAGTGCAGCTGTGACCATTAACACAAGCTCGTGATCTCCCCCAGGAGAATTCTTTTGACCACTGAAGCTCTCCAACAGCCATCTCTCTAACAACCTTCTCATGAAGGTCAGTCTGACTGGCAAAAACTAGCACCTTGGACTCCTCTGAGCGGTGTACCCCTGTGCTGCTTGTCAAGCTGTCCACTGTGGCTCATGTTACATTCCTAGTTTCACTAATCTGTTTTCCCAGGAAATCTGCATGGGAAATGCAGAGCTGCCTTCGCTCTTCTGGTTTACAGAAAGCATACAAAATCTCAGTGCTTTGCTGAGTCTAGAAGAGTATGTCTCATGTGATGAGCAAAGCTTTCCTACTGCCTCTTGTAAAGTACCGAGGATAATTCCTTCTGCCACAGACAACCTAAAGCTGCCTTAATCCCGTAATATGTATTTGGTCAATTTACCCGCCGTGACAAAATCTTGAATCTCCAAAGCCTGTTATTAAAGTCCTCTCGATTGAAAACCTATTCCATCTTACACAACTGAAACCTAAACATTTTGTTCCACTACACACGAGGCAGTCACAGAGCATTACAAGATCTGCATCTCGAGGGTGTATTTTCAAAGGGATGAGGGGACTGACGTGTGAGGGGTCAGTGTGCCAAAGAGGGTGGGTTTCTGTTTAAATGTCTGTATGATATTTAGCATCCAGTCTGGCCCCAAATAACATTCTGCTATTCCAGATGATTGTATAACATTACGTAGTGTTACATTTCACATGACTTTTATTACTCAGCCAGACTTAAAGGATTACGTTTTGCCTACCAGCTTCCTTTGTATGCTCTGGATCAAAAATCTCCCTGAAACAAAGAAGATGTGGTAGATACCTATCTCTTTGACCTTCTGCCTCCTTCTGCTTCAGTTATTCAAACAACTCCTATGTTTGTAAATCACGGAGAAACGCTTGCTCAAGAAGACTGATGTAAGATGGAGATATCAACAATATCTCACCCACACACACAGAGGGTGTGGAAGGCAGTGGAAACCAAAATGATTGTACTCACATATTGGCTATGATATGAAAAAAAAAAAAATAAAAATTGACTGTTAAGGTTAAGACGACCCACTAGAGGTCCCTTCCATCCTTCTCATCACACACTTCTCATCCAATGAAAAGGAGACTGTGCCCAAACCAAGTGCAGTAAATGCTAAGGTTACGTGTGGCAGGCACTTTTGAGGGAAGGATGTTGGCGGTTTGTATTTGACCAGAGCATCCAAACTAATGACTGTATCCAAGGACGCCATGTACAAATAAGACCTGATGTCCCATCGTGAGCAAAACAGTAGAAATCCATAACTTGTGACTATCCTGACTTCATGTACTTCCAGATAAGCTGTTCTGCTCAGGCACATTCCTCCTTCATTTTTTTTCCCCCGAGATATCTAGCGTTACTAAGAGGCAACATTCTTCAAGCAACAACTTTCTATCTCAGGGAGTTGCTCTTATTTAACTGTTATTATCCTTGACTGTCCATGTTGGGTCTGATCATAAATTCAGCAAAATAACTGGAGAGGATTCAGTCAGCTCTCTGTCTGGATTCTGAAGACTGAGTGCCCTTGCCACTGACTCCAAAGGGAGTGAAATCTGCTCAACCTATCTCAGGGTAGGAAAAATATTTTGAACACATCTGGGGACATGGTGCTGCAACGTCTGGGCACGCTGATAAAAATACCTAATTTCACTTTGAGGCATTACTGTGTTTCTCAGAAGCTCTTTAGCAGCTAAAGCATTCCCATAACAAATAATATGTCTGGAAATCTGTTCTTGGGACAATTTGCTATTGCTTTCCATGGGAGATTTGCCTCAGTAAAGCCTCTAGAATTAGGCCTATGTAATTTTGATTATTTTTGCATGTCTATAATAATGTGCTTAAGTATTTTCATCCATTACTGGTTTAAGCCTTTGACTGAAAAAAAAAAAAAAAACCCTCTAGGCTTAAGTGAGTTATTAACCATTAACTCTAGGAATGGTTTGTGGTGATATTAAAACAGGACACATGTTTGAGTGTGGTGTCTGTGTTTGTGCTGTGCCCACAAACAAAACTACGTGAATGCCACTAACTGACAGCTAACTGGTTTCTCGTGTGTGTTTTACACGCCAGAGCAAAGAGGGAGCTGGGAAATGCATTTTCACTGGTTAGCTTCCACTTTTCTTTCCCCTGGCAGGACAGAATGGGAAAGTTGGGAAGACCTCTAATCCTGACTTTTAAAAATGCGTGTTTCAACACTGCTAACTTCAAAAAGAGAACGAGTATTTCTTAGCAAATCTAACTTTTTTTTTTTTTCCTAAAAAACGGCTAAATTTGGCTTAGATCCAGTTCGGAGTTTCCTATCCAAGAAAATAGCAGCATTTGACTGCACTTCAATTTTCTTCTTTTTTTTTTTTTTTTTTTTTCTGAAACTGAAGTTTAGTTCCTCTGTATGCAGAGAATAAAATTGTTTTAAATGAAAGAAATAGCTCAAGAACAGCTTGCAGGAGTACAAAACAGCTAAGCATTAATAGGCTGAGAAGAATACACTGTAATATTATCAGCAATAACATGTTCTACACAGTTTGCTGTAGGAGATTTGTAATAGCTGTCTGCCTGGTGCCAAACTTTAGGTGTGTCTGAAGTCACTTCACCTGGGGGATTTTTGGTTTGGCTTCCTTTTTTCTTTTTTCTTTTTTTTTTTTTTTTTTTTTTATTTTATTCTTAAATGGCAGAGGAAGTGCTATTTGGAGATCTTGCACGTAATAAAACATTTACAAGGAAACCCATCTGAAATTGTTTGCTGTGTCATGTTTCCCTGTAAGCTGCGATCGGATTTTCCAACACTCTTTCTCCAACTTGGCTTCCTCTTGAACTGAGTAACAATACAGCCCTCCACAGCATGACTGAGGTGTTTCTTCCTTAGAAAATCTGATGCAAGTCCAGAGAAAGCCAGCGACTTAGATGTGTGAGGCAGCTGCTCCTACATCAGCCCAGTGGCTTCTCCTGCACTTTGCGTATGGGTATTAGTATAAACCATGCTGATTATTTTGGAAGGAGCAAAAAGGTCATTTCCTGAACAGACTGTCTTAAGTTACACTACCATTTATCAAAAAATATTCTTCTGCCTCCAAGTAAGACACTGGACTCCCTTTGGATTTATTTTTTTTTTTTTTTTTTTTCTTTTTGTGAAGTGGCAGAAAGCCAAAGAAATGGTTCGGCACTTCAGTGTCGTGATGGCCCTCACTTTCTGCGTGTCTCCCCTGTCCTTATCAATGCTGGCTCCGTGCCAGCGCCGAAGAAATACAGGTTATTCAGTTTAACACACAGCAGCTTGATGGACCGGGATGCTCCCCACGAGGAACCGAAAGGTGCGCGGGGGGCCGGCACAATAAAGAGCTGCTCCTCTCCCTGGGAAGGGGAGACCCTCAGCTTTCACATCTCCTTCCCCAAAGCTCTGTGAGGTCAGAGACAGCTGCGAAGCGCCCTTTGCCTGCCCCAAATCCCCTCACCTGGCGCCGAGGCACCGCCGGTGAGCACCTGGGGCAGGTAACCCGGGAGCGCTGCTGGAGGCTGCGGATCCTCCCGGGCTTCTCCCGCCGCCCGTCCCAGGGGATCCCGGCCGCCTCCCTCCCCACCCGCACCGCCACCGCAGCGAGGGACAATAAAGGGGAGGAAAAAAAAAAAAAAAAGAAACTCACAGTCTGCGGCTGATCCCCTCTACTGATCTCCCGTAAGAGGGCACGGAGTAACTCAGCAGGAACACCGCGAAACTCCACTGCTGGAAGAGTTTAGCGAACATTGTATCCTCCGGGGCTTAAAACCTGCAAGGAAAGGGAGGTCAGTCCAGGGGGACACATGCGCCAGCGCCGTCCTCAAGCAGCCCCCGCTTCTCTAGCAGCTCCGAGGCTCTGAAGGAAAAACAAACTTTCTGAGCTCTCCGCTCACTCCTTCCAAACTTCGCTCTCTCTCCCTTCCTTGCTGTCTGCCTCTCCCTCTCTCCCTCCCTCCCCAGTTCCCTCCCTCCCTCTTTCTCTGTCTCTCGCTGCCCGCAGGCAAGATCTCTCTCGATATTAGTTAAAAAAGCATTTAGCTCACATTTGAACCGGGTTAGAGAGCGGGTCCATTTGGCTCCCTGAGCCCTGTTCAATTCTAGTCCGCTAAGCCACTGTCTCAGGTATTTAAGCTACAGGAGAAGCCCTCTCTGCAGATAAGGAAAGATTCACGAAAGCCAGCTCGGCTGCCCACTTCTCCATAAACACACTCGCGGACACACACACACACACAGACTGAGGCGAGACAGGGGATGCATCTCTACATGTCTTCTAATATACCTTCAAAAAAAAAAAAAAAAAAAAAGAGTCAGGTTCACGTCCTCAGCTTCCCCAAAGTTTGGTCCCCAGCTGTGCCAAGGAGAGGGAACTCAAGCAGAGGTCGCTGCCTAGCTGGAGAACCAGAGAGGTCCGAGAGGAGCGGCAGCCCGGGAAGGCTCAGGGGCTGGGAATCATGCTTGGCTCGGCAGGTTGGACGGGGCTGGAGCCTGCGATGTTCACACGCTCCGAAGCAGCCTCTGGGAGACCTGCGGACGGACGGAGGGTTTTGCAAAGAGATGGCGCCCTAGGAACATGTGCGGAGAGAGCGAGAGCCCGGGCGGGATACCCACAGCCAAAACGGAGACTGGAAACAAGCGCTTCCCGGGACGGGAATCAAAAAAGGAGCGAAGGAAGGGGAACACCCGACAGCACACGCACGCAGCGGACCCTAAGGACTCCGGCCAAGCTCTTCGCATCTTCTGCAGCCGGGCTTCTCCCTCTCTCTCTCCCCTTCCAGCTCTCCCTTTCTGTGTTTATCCCCCAGCTCAGCGCCTCCCCTGCCGTAGCCGGGCGATCTCTCCATCGCGGGGGCACTTTTTAGCTCAAGCCCCAAAACCCTGCCCGGAACTGTTGCCTTTCACGCACCTACCGTGGTTCGTCGCCTTTCCCCTATTAGCTGGAGGGTCGATCCCTAATGATGCTAATTGTACGCCAGTGAGGGGGTGGGGGGGCAAAGGGGGAGGGCTGGGGGAAGGACTCGCCGTCTATGAACACAGGCGCTCCTGGCCAAAAAAGTAAACTAGTGGAAAGTTTTCTCCTCCTCTCTCTCTCTCTTTTTCTCCTTCCACTTCGTCCTCCTTCAGCGTGGCAAATCCCCGTGTCAGGCTGCGCTCCCGTGCGAGGCTGCGGGGACAGCGGTGCCCGGAGCTGCGGGAGCGCTGCCGGTCACCCCCCGCACCCGCGGCGGAGGGGCCAAATTTTTCCACCGCGGGAGAAAGAACACTTATGTAAAAACCGAAGGTAGCACAATCCGCCCCTTTCCGCAGCCTGTTTCGCGCAAGGAGCTGCCCGCGGCTGTTGCAAGTCAGGTACCGGGAGAGAGCCGGGGGGTGTTTGGTGCGCCCCTTGCCCCCACCCCCCGGCGGCTCTTCCAAGGGGGAATGCCCTGCACGCCGATCTCCTCCCGCTCGACGGCAGAGACCGTGCCAGCGGGCACCTGGGGGGACCAGCTCCGTCCCGGCAGCATCCCTGGACCCCCCAGCCCTCCGCATCCCGCAGAAACGCCCCCGAGAGACCTTCCCGCGGGCAGCGCCGCCGCCCCCAGGCGCAGAGGGGTCGCTGGTCGCTGCCGCTGACAGCCTGATTTACAGGGAATGCTTTCCCAACACCCTCACAAGCCGCAACAAAACAGTGAGGCGTGCCGGCTGATTGCTCCTTCTCAGCCTCTTCCCGAATTAAGGAAGGGAAGGCTCCCCGGAGAAAGTTTGGGTGCAAGGCAGAGCATTTTTCTACCTGCAGGTTATTTTGCGTCAAAAGGCACTTGCTGCCACAATTTAAAAGCCCAGCTCCTTAGCCAAATTCCACACCACACAGGCAAATAAAACCGACAACATAAGAGCTGAAATAGAAATCATGGCGAAAACATTAAATCGTTTATACTGTAAATAAATTCCCTGAACACCTGGTAGGCTATAAATTAAAATGTATGGCTAATAGGCTTCTTTGATTTACACTGCCCTTTCTACTAATTAAAAATAATTGCGAGATCCCCTGAAAACAGCCCCCACACACTCATAAGTCTATTGCTCTTTTAAAGGTAAAAGGTCCATCAAATATTTTTAGAATTTCCTTTCCCACAGAAATTAAAAATTAAAAAAACACACCAAACCTCCAAAAACCAACACACACCAAACCTTACAGACTCAGGAAAATAAATAGCCTTCATAAACTCAGAATACTGAAGTCTCTTCACAGTTTATTACTTCACCTTTTCCTTGAGTTACAGCTGTCTGTGCCTCTCAGGAATCACCCTGGCCAACAGTGGTTGATCTTCTCAGCAATCGCTTCCAAAACTATATTCTATGTTTAAGAAAAAGTGTAAAAAAAAAAAAAAAAAAAAAAAAGTTAAATGGGAAAAAAAGGGTAATACTTTTCAAAAATTCAAAATAAATCCAGCCCTACAGATTTTTTATTCTGCCTGCAACAGGTTAGGGAGAAATAAAGGGCGTTAAAAGCAGGTGCTTTCCCCCCTTGCTGCTCTTTTTATTATGAAGAACAGAAGCTTCTCCTAATATATATATAGTGAAGGAGACCCTTCTCCATTGCTTTTATTGAAAAGACCAAACTTGTGACATCACTAAGTACCTTCCTATGGCTGAGTTTGCCTCATCTCTGCCTCAGTGGGCTTGGGGCGGGGGGAAGGGGGGGGGCAAAGGGAGAGAGGAAAAAAAAAAAGAAACTATGGCTTTGCTAATACGGCAGGAACTGAGCAGTGCCAAACCCGTTTAGGAGACTTACTATCATACCATTCTACGATGCTCCCCTTGCCCCCCCGCCCCCCGCTGAAGACTGTCATCTCAAAACACCGGCGCAGTGCTTTTTCACCTGCCACTTACACGAATGCTTAACCCGTGAGCAAACTCCTGGTGCCAAAGCCTCACCGCAAGCCTGAGCCCTCCGCCGTGGCGGGATGGGGAGAAAAATCCCCTCACTTAGGGTTTAAACACTCCCTTCCCCGCAGGACGGCGCCCGGGGATGCGCACCCGGGTCAGCGGCTCCCGGCAGGGACCCGCCGCCACCTGCAGCATCTCTCCCCACCGGCCCGGCCGCTCCGCCCTGCAAGCTCCGGGTGTCCCTCGGCCTCGGAGGGGTGAAAAGAAGATGACGCTGGACCAGAGGAAGGACCGGCGGAGCGATGCTTTTGGCGCGGTTCCCGTCCCCACACCTGCGCCAAAGCATCCCTGCGCACACGGGGCACCCCCGGGCACGGCCGTCCCCGCGTCCGGGAGCGGGGAAAAGCCGCACTTTTGTTCGGGTTTCACCTGCCGGGGCCTCGGTTACGGGCAGGGCTCGGCGCCAAGGCGAGGAGCTTGCGGTGGCTGGTTGTTTTCCCGGCCGGGACGCACGGAGGGAACGGGTCGTTTTGTTGGACCTGGAAAAGGCTTCAGCCGCGGGGAGGTGAGGCAAGACCCTGCGTTTGCCTCTCTGGTCAAGCCCTCCCTGCCGCGATAAGGCAAACCTTATCATTTTAGGTTTTCTGCCTCCACTTTCTCCCGTCTTCCCGCCTCAAAGACAATGAGATTTTGGAGGGATGCCGCGCTTGGCTTCTGCCTCCTTTTTCCATACATATAAACAGGCATAAATTAGCTTTCCTACGAGGAAGTCGACCTGGGAGTTTGGCTAGGAAGACAAATCTCTGCTCCAGGTTTGGCACGTAATTCCCGAGCGGGGAATGGGGCCAGGGGCTGCGGGCGGGTGTGTGACCGGGCTCCCCTCAGAAGCCTCTCGGGAGCGAAACATTCCCTTGAAACAAAAGCCAACAAGTGGGTTCAGCTCACTGGGGAGGAGGTGCCCTTGCAGCCTCAGCGAGACAGAGGGAAATAATGACTAACCCCCCACCCGGTGCTCAGAGACGGGCTAAATCCTCAGCTCTGCAAACTTCCCATCCTTCACCTCTGTGAAGTTCCGCCTCTCCCTCCTCCCTCTTGTTTTATTCACAATAAAGCACTTTCGTCATTTCCCCTCCCGGATTTCTATAACCTCAGTTGCACTCGTCCAGGGCTTCGGTTCAGACGGGGAGTTTAACCTCCGCAGTCTTCCCAGGGCGGAAAAAAATGGTGTTCAGCAAAAAAAACACAGGCGTGCTGACTGCTGGAGAGGCTGGCGGGGAAGGGAAGGGAGCGGCAACATCAGCGATTGCTGGACTCGTCCTGCGAGGACCAGAAATCCCCCAAGACTTGCACAACCTCTCTGATCCAGGAAGGTTCAAAGCCAGCGAGCGCAGCTCTCTGCAGGCGAGGTGCGAAGCCCCAGAGTTTCTGCGAGGCTCTCAGGGTGGGTTTGAGGGCAAGGCTGCTGTACAACTGGTAGCAAACACTATTGCTTGCAGAGTGAGGCAGATTTTCTAGCACAGACTCATTCTTGCCCGCACCCGAGCCCTGCTGCACTCCCCTGTCCCCAGCTTGTCCCCTCTCCTCTGACTCTCCGGTGGCCGTCAGGGATGACAAGCTCCCTAGCCCACCTCTGACATGGTGTAATCTTCCTGTGGAGTGAAAAGATTGCTCGGGGAGAAAGAGAAACCCGTTTTATCCCTCCCCACCAGCAAGACCCCGACGTTCCGTGGCACTCCATCTGCATACACTAATCTCCTTTATTAAAGAACGATAGAGTAGCTCAGTAGAGCAGCCTCTCCCACCCGAGGGACAGCCGGAGTTCCCCCGGCCCAACACAATGCGCCGTTTATTTAGACAATGTGCATTTAATTTAATGA